CATCCGAGACAAGGAATTGTCTCTTTGCGAAAATCTGTTCGAAATATTGGTTTGATAATTTGATAATTTGCTTGTAACGTTTGATCGCTTGCAATTTTTTTTTCACCTTGACTGTTGCTACTATGAATTTTCATCAGTCATCTAAATTATCAGCGAACAAATGTTCGAGTTTCAGTTGGTGAGCGAATCAGAGTGTTCATACGTGCCACAGATCTGGCCAATCCTCCTCACCAAAACGAAACCGAAGTGGTGATTAACGTGCAATCAGCGAACATCTCCCTTCCACACTTCTCGAATCATCATTACCTCTTCACAATACCTGAAGATGCTTCCATTGGTACAGTTGTGGGACGCTTACAGCAAAATCAGCAACAAAGTCAGCCAACTTCTGCTTCGTTTTTGATGCTTCAGTTTACATCTTTTAATCTATACTCGTTGTCGGTGACCCGCTTAAAATTTCTTCTTTCTCGGCTACCAGTTGGATGCTCAATTTCTTTTATTGGAAAATTTGAACATTTACTTTCTGAAACAAACTGATTGGCTTTATGAATTAAGCGTTCCCTACAAAACATCAAATATACTCAAATCTTGTCACCTTCATATCAGAGAAAACTATATATTATTTATTGTTTGAAATTATATTAGATTAATTATTTATTGTTCCTAGCGTCTCGTTATTTTGCATTCTACGTTTGTCCTTCCCATTTTTAATTGTACATTTCAGTCCTTTCGAGTGTACGTTTCTCGATTGCGTCTCATTCTGGTTCATCGGAAATTCCATTCTCCGTCGACCAGTCATCTGGAAGATTAATCGTCAACAGTCCATTGGACAGAGAAAAGGTAGCTTCCTAGACTTCGTTCCTGAGTAACCACTGCAGTTCTATTCCATGTGTAATATCCTCCCAAATGAATAACGCAATAATTTATCGATTTCGCTTTTTAAATTCTTTTTTCATGTGCTCTACTACGAATTTTTCACCATCGATCTTATTGTTTGATTGAATATAAGTGAATGCAATGTTGTGAAAAATCAGGTTGAATAAATTTTTTCGATGCGAGCAGTGAAAACTGCAGTTGAATGTTGTTGATAGTTTAGTCTCGCTTATAGTATTGGCGTTATATTTAAGGTTGCTGAATGGCGTTTCATAGTCCGTCTGTCTTCGGCGTTGAATAATATTGTTGGCGAGGATAGTGATATGGCTGTGGGTACATTGGCAATGGTAACGATTCGATTGAGTGATGTGAACGATAACGCACCACAATTCCACGGTATATACGAACGAATTGCGATATCTGAAGACTCGCCAATTGGCACGAGCGTTGCCGTGATGAGTGCAACTGATGCGGATAGTGGACCAAATTCGAGGATATTTTTCAGTATCGAACAGGTTCGTGAACGGAGATGATATATTGGCAGGGATTGGAAACAGTTCAAAATTCGGTCACATTGTTCAAAATTAGCTGGGAAATTCGAACCACTCTTGATTTTTACTAATCCCAATGGCATTCTCAAAAATACATGTATGACAGTTGACCATGATGAATGATGAAAGAGAGATGTAAGCATCGTTCTCGCGGTGTTCATTTTAATAATACAGACTGCCTACTGAATGGGATATTCTATGGGACTTGGTATTTTTTGATACGGGATATTTTGGTAA